TTGGCGCCTGTGTTGGTTACACTAAGCTCGCCGTACATGATCTTCGTTGTGACCAGCCATGCAGTCATAGAGAGGACGAAGCCAATTATGGGACTGAAAGTCGCAGCGGCCCAGGATTGACCGTTCCAAAGAAGTGTCAGGGTTGCAGGTAGCACGGCAGATGAGATGATGACGCCCATCATTAGATAAAGGCAACCCATGGAGATTCCGACATAGTTTAGGCCTGTTGCGAAGCCGGCCATCAACAGAGCGAAGATGCCCATACTGACATAATTGATGCGCATAAGTTGCCTTCCGGTTGCTGAGGGGTTGAAGTATGTCTTGTAAATATCGTAGGTGCAAATTGACGAAACGGCGATGAGCTCAGACGAGTATGTGCTCATGATAGCCATAAACTCAAAACCGTCAGCTACCTTTCGCTTTCATAACTGATTTCCACAACTCACAGCTAATATCAGTGTTGCTACAGCACCTCCTTTTCCCAGGAGTGCAACAGCAGCCGTAGGTAAAACCAAGCCGGCATCGACATCCGCCGGAGATAAACGGTTCGGATATGTGGGCCAAACATCGTACTTCTCTAGGGCGAGACCGGTAAGGCCCATGGTTGTCGCAGTCAACCACGGTACTGCGAACCAGCTGATGCCGCTGTGTTATGTTAGCACTGAGAGACCACAGACCGTTGGCAATTTTGACTGACCCCATAACATATCCAGGCAGAGCGTCAATAGGCGAGGCCGCAATTGCCTTGTTATAATATCCGTTATCGAGGAAAACGGTTCCGAAATTCCCGCAGAGGTTGATGATGAAGAATTCGGCTGGATGTGCGTTAGACCTGTGTAAACCTCATGTCCTTGACATACAATGAAGGAACTTACCACCGCCTAGAGAGCGCATGGTCAGGTAACTGCCACCAGAGTTTCCAGATAGAGGGCGCTCAGCTGCCAACTCGGTAAGGATCTCCCATACTCTTCCGGGAGATCCCAAGAGCTCATTGGTCGAGTAGACTGTGAAGGCAAACACGAAGATGATGACAAGGATAACCAGCCCATTGATGTAGTCAGTGATGAACGTCGCCTTGATACCACCAAATAGGGTGTATAAAACAACGCCTGTCATGATTGTTAATACACATCATCACTCAGCGATTCAAATACCTTAGTTGCGCCGCTCACCAATTGGGAAAAGAAACACAGAAGCGGCTACTGGCGCTCCTGTCAAATTCTGAATTACGGCCGAGCCACCTGTAAGAAGCATCGCAGTGACTAGATTTCCGAACCAGTGAGTTGCTCATTGCAGAGTAAGTCATGTGGTGTTCATTGCGTACCGAGAATGTTGCAGAAGCAGCAGAAGACAATGTAAACACCATGAGTGATGGGGCCATATCGGGCCTTGACAACTTCCAAGACTGAGATTATGTGCATGTTAGCCTGAAATAGTGAACATGTGGTGCTAAAATTTACATATGTGAGCATTCGGAGCTCTCCTTTTCAGTTCGATGGCTATCGTGGCGAAGAGAATGATCTGGACCGTTGCACCGGAGGCATACCACACAGGGCCAGAAACGCCGCTACATATTCGTCAATCCCCCTCAGGGCCACGGGGGCGTGAGATCCTCACTATTTATAGGCAACGGCTGTGCTCTGGAGAAGTGTTGCGGCCCATGTCCATGTCGAGAGGACGGAAGAGGCGACCTATGCAGAATGAGCAACTCCGTCGGATCGATTAGTACACGTGTGCAGATGCACCCACCAGTCCGGACTTCAGAGACCGCCCTGCGGTTGTGAACATTTCCGAAGTCTGCAGCTCAGAGTCGTATCTCTTGAGCGCCCATGTAATGATGATCATGAAAACGCTGTGTGGATGGTCAGTCTAGTTTGGTGCCTAAAGTGAGTAGAGACATAAGCATACGCGAACAGGATACCAAAGCCTATCATAAGACCATATCTAGAATAAGTAGTTAGCATTCTTCCCATGCTTCTATCACATTTGGAGCAAGACTGACCCCCAGCCTTGGTTGAGAGCCGGTGTCGAATCCATAATCGCACACTTCGCGTCAATATTGTTTCTGTAGCTTGTAGGTTACACGAATGGGCACTCAGAGTCATCCCTCAAACAAAAGTGTATCAGGCTGAGAAAGGCCGAGTAAGTGGCTATATAAGCGCAGGTCCTGTTTGATTGGAAAGCCTTAGGGTCGCCGGGCTCCTGCCGTGGACCCATGGATTTGACATGCGTCCGATGCCCATCACATCTTTGCAACACTTTAGACCGCTCTTGTCAGTACCCGAAGCTGATAAGGACATCTTGCCAAGAGATTCCGTAGCTATCTGCCAGATCAAATTGTATTTCCTAAGAGATAAGGTCATTTAGATGGGATAACGTAGGGCCAAATGACTTAGGCAACCTTGGTGTTGGTAGATTGCGCCGCTGCACCTTGGCGTGGGCAAGCTAAGAGTCCAGTGCAGATAAAAGATCCATAGATGTGTTCGCCACACTTAAGGATTCCGGCTACATATCAATGTTCCCTGTCTGGTCGTTGCTCACTTGAGAGGTCTGACCCCATATATGCAGCGGCGCCGAGGCGCTGGCTGGAAGTGAACGAATTCTGAATGGCTCAAGTGTGGGCGGCCAAGGTTTTGCTATTTCTTGGAAGTCAAGCTCTTATCATTTCCCAATCAGAGACTGAGGAAAGATGAGACTGTGCGAATCAGACATGCTGCGTCTCATAGCCGTGTTCATTGGTCTCCGAACATCATAAATCATAGCAGCAGAGCGTGAATTTTATCAAGCGAACCTGTAACAACAAAACCGCAGCCCATGTCTATAATACAGACACATATTATTGAGTTATCTGTTCATCCTTCAACTCAGATATCACGCAACTTTCTTCCCAAAGCAGAACCCTTCGAAAAACAGATCTTCCTGGTTTGCATCAGGATCCCAATCGTCATCGAATTCCTCTCCATGCTTCTCTCGACCAATCTCATGGAACAAGTCTTTCAAGGAATCATCGGGCTCCCAGCTCCCAGTTCTCCACTGAAATAAACGAACATCCCCGTCGTCGGAATCGTCAGACGATGCTGATTCTGGTCTGTCAGACTCTGTATCCGTTCCAGGCGCATTGTAGCCAATTCCCCAGCCCAAGGACCTTTTATTGTTCACCATGTCGAAATAGCTGTGGTAGGAGAACCTTGGCCTCGCATGGTTTCCTGGCGACCACCATATGGGCGACCATATTATGGCCTCTTTCAAACGAGGCATCTTCGCAGCTGCTTTGGCATATGCAGAAAGAAGTGGATGGAGTGTTTCGGGGTTGGGCTTCAGACGCCATCCTGAGGGACGGCAGGGAGCATGCCCCATTATGATGGTACCGCCTCCGGCATCATGGCTCTCGCCAATATATTCGATACCATCAACAGGATATCCTTGAACACCGTTACCCTCCCCACGTGGCCCCAGAAAATACCACGATCCCGAAGGAGTGGCCGGATGAAACTTGACTTCTAGTGATTCCATATTGGGCCAAACATCACCTTCTCCATCGTCAGGCCAGAAGAATGACTGGTCAATGATAGCACTGAGTTGGAGCTGAGTGAGATGGCGACAAAGAACCCGAAGACTGGAGCTGAACGGGTCTCGGGGACCCCCTCGGACAAGATTTGGCATCGCCGAGTCGTGGTCAAGAACTTCGTGAGCCTTTCTCCTTTGCAAAACAATCTCGGCCCGCTTGACTTGCAGCGACATGGTCTCGGCAACATGTGCGAACTCTTCCCTCGCCTTGAATCGACTGTGTTCGCACTCTGGGTCGCAATTGTGCTCGTCCAGTAGGTCGATCCGCAGCATTCCTAAGTTCGGCAGCTTGGCCGACAAATCCAGAGGTGTTCGCAAAGGAAGTTTGCCATATAAACTCGGTTCTTGCAGACTTGCAGGTGGGCCAACGTAAAGAGAACCGATACTCTGAAGCACAGGAATCCGATCCAGACTACGCAGGTGAACATGCCGGCCTGCATTCGGCCTGGTGGATTCAGGGTTCTGTCGCTCTGGGCTAATGATCTTCAGCTGTATTGTTCCCTTGGGCCCTTCTGTACCCTCAAGGACTTCCAATGCGTTGAAAAGCGCATGAATCTGGGTTGACAGGTCGTCGTCGGGAGGCTGGTCGCCGGCCGGGTCATCGGGTGCGGCAGCGCCATCGTGGCCTGCACCTCCCGGCAACCTCAAATCAAATTCCAGCTCTCGGAGCCAACAAAAACGGGCGCCGCGGAACTTTTCAACGAAGCTGTCGAGATCCTTGTAGTGCAGTTTGCACTTGGTGAACCCCTCAGAGTACTTTTCCGCCGCCATACGGAGCGTCGGTGACAGCAGCAAGAGGTTCTTCAGATCGGGTCGATAGAGGTTGGAGGCGATTTGGTCGACAACTTCCTGGGGCAGGGTCTGCATGATTGGTACCATTTAAGAAATTTCCAGCCGAGTTTGAGATTGGCAAAAAACGAGAGCACAAGTAAGCAAAGTCACAAATGCAATGTCTGGGACTTCTCCGCATGCAGTGAAACTTTGCTTCCGAGGATTGAATATGCCGGGGCGAGACAGCAGCCGCAGTGCGGCGCACCAAGTCTCTCAGCCGTGGCTTACTCAAAATTATTGTGCGGAATGCTGTTACTATGCTGACGCTTTCGGAATAATAATGTGTAGAGATTCCATTAGAATTGTATTTTGACTCCACGTTTTATTCTGTCTCTAGCGTGGTCTGCTGTCCTAATTCCAACATGGATCAGCTTCATACAGAAAAGATGACCTGATTCTGATACAGGTGGCCAGATCAATGTTATGCATATGTGCTCTCAATTTGTCCGCGACGCCGCCGGCCACTGCCAAGAGCCTAGGCGTCGTCTGTCACACGCTGTAGCTTGCTCCACTTTCCAGGATACTATCTTGAACTTATTCACTTTAGGTCACCCGGATCCAGTATAGGTACAAAACTCTGTCTCCAGCGCAATCGACCTTTCCCGCTACGGCTTACGCTATATGTTGCCATTCAATATCGTATGTAAATTAAACTTGCACTCCGTCTGTGCATTACCTGTTTATTGGACATTCCATTGGTCAATTAGTATGTCGCTAGGTAACCATTGGCTACTGGCGGCGCGCCAACCTGGTTTACAAAGGAGTCATATCGTGAATATCAATTCGGGCTCCAGCGGGATCTTACTACAGTATAGAAAGGGGGGGGAGCAAACATGAAAGCTATACAAGCCACACCTGATATCCCAAGGCCGAGTGCTACCGACAAAACCCTCCGTGCGATGGGGTTTGTACAGTGGTTCAAGTGGAATCTCAGGTATACATCTAGCTGGATGAAGCATGGCATCAAAGCCATCAATTGGGCGGCTGTCAGCAAACGGTCAACAGGTGGGGATAGTCCAGAGAAAAATGAGACCGTGGCGATTGTTGAGGGACTGCCAATCATGAAGAGGATAGATGTTGTCCAACTTTTAGTTAGGGCATTGCGACTATCCTGAAGACGACGTGCAATCACACTTTCACAGCCTGTAGAACGATCAACAATTTCGGTAAGTTGACTGTGTTGGCAAGACATGTTTTCAGATGTTGGTAGCAATGGCCGAGTTTGTACTGTATTGCCCGGTTACCCTATTAGTCTGACTCCAGTATTTTTTATTTTATTTTTCGTTTTTTATTACTTAAACAAGAAAACAAGAGAATTTCTTCATAATGAAACTCTGCGGCTTTTGCCTACCAATGCTTGAGGAGCCACTGAGACATGGACTCTGGTGGTCCAGGGGCAAGGGCAGAAGCTCTATATTTTGCGGAAGGCTGGCGTCGCCTTCATGAATGGCGTTATCTTGTGTTCTTTCTTCTTCCAACAATGGATCGCTAGGGCCTATGATATCCGCTATACAGTCGTTACTAAAGCTAGCAGAGAGTGTAAGTGAGATTGACTTACAGGACTGATGGTTAGGAGGACTATTTGCTGAAGCACTATTTCTATAACTGGGGCCTGTGTTGTTGAACCAAGAGTTGGAATAGTAAATGATGATCTGTTAAATGTATTAAACATAGTGCTCACCCTCAAAGAAAGACTTGATAAATAGCTCGGATATAGGAAGCAGTGAAGATGACAAAAGGGCAAGAGGAATAATCTGTCCAAATATCCAGTCATCTTCAGATATATCGCTATTCCTGAGGTCCTTGAGCGATTCAATGGCGGTGGTTCCCCATGTGGCTGACAGTATAACAGAGTAGACCTGGAATACTTTGACGTTAGCATTTAGGATATCTTTTGGCTGCCACCGGAAGTCAGAATGCATACCTCAGCAAGCACAAACGTTCAAAGGTATAAAACCACTCTAATTGTGCAGTAAATTGATGCCTCTATAGGGAGAATGACCATTCCAAGGACTATTAACCCTTCCGACTTTCTGCAGCTGAGCCATCTCTGCCAGCTAATGATTAAAGCATCGTATCCTCGATCCAATGCACCTTGAATACCTTGTGACATATCATGACAGAGGCTTTCAAAAGTCTTTGCAGCTCGGATGAGATAACCGTATACTGGCAGAATGAGGGATAAAACCATTGAAGCGGATACGTGAGATGATTTGTTCATGCCCCACTTGAAGAAGCACAAAGCAGGTGATTCGTAAAGAACTCCAACAGATTCAGCCAAACTACAGACCTGAAGATACCTAATTTTATCCACGCGGGTTATATCAGGAATAGAATTGGTGATTTCAGGCCGCTCAAGCGAAACCGCCGGTGCGTGTCAAGTCTTACTTGCCGCGTAATTGATAGATGGTCTCGCGTAGGGCGGTGTCACACTCAATGCATATGAAGACGCCCTTTGACACGTACTGTAATCGAGGCACCACTGCCAGGGTTAGCTTTTGCGGAGATGACCAGGTCGGCTGTTGAGCTTACCAAGACAGAGTTGACATATTTGATATGGAACATCTACAAAAAGACTTGCTCGATGCATGTGATATTAATGAATAGGGTCTAAGGTCTACTAACATGACTGACTTTACTATACAATTCCGTCAGGTGTCGGGTATAATCTTTCTTATAGATGGACGAGGTGCCTCATCGGCCCACAAGTCTTCGCTCGGCATAACGCAGAGGTAGGTAGAGAAGAGCACTCAGGGCGAAGGCAACCTCAAAGCCAATATCTCCGGTTGTGACGGCGATAGGACCCGTAAACCAGACCTGGGAAATACAAGGAATGACCAGCGCAAAGCTCAGGGCAGCAGCACCGATCGCTGCGAGACCCCATGGCAGCTTCGAGGGGTCTTCCCAGATAGCAGCCTCGTACATTTTGTAGTTTGCGCGGCGGAAAGCCCAATGCTCGACGACCACGATTCCCACGAATGAAGCCGACCAGTAGCCGATGAGCGCGATGAAGTTTTCGAGATTGAGAAAGAAGTCGCGAGCCGCTCGAATTGAGATCGGAATGATGATGGCGGTCACAATAACTGAGAAGATATATCGTGGCAGTCGGAATGAAGGGATCAGAGTCTGGAAGTTCAGAGTAATGGCGTACATCGTGCCAGAGATGTTGGCCAGCAATGTGAAGGCGAGCACGACGAGGATGAATTTTCCAAAGCCGCCAGCTGGGGAAAGCATGGCTCCGAGAACACCGCCAACCAGCGTGCGATTAAAGCCGTCCTGCCACGCGGGGATACTGCTCATGGCGCCGCCGATAGCTGCGCCCAAGGTCATGAGCAAAATGGTCGGGACGAGCAGTCCGAGATAGCTGTAGGCGAAGATGCGGTGGCTGACAAGAGTAAGCGCAAGTCTTGAGGACAGGGGTTTGTGGCACCTACGATACGAGTCGCTTCGTGGGGTCAAAGTAGGTCGTCAAATCGGACGCGATGCAAGCCCAGGGGATCATGTAGGACGCGATCACACCGCCAAAGCTGAGAACTCCAGATGCCGTTGCCGGCTCGGCTGGAGCTTGCAACTTGAGCTGCTCACCGCCGCAGCCTACGGCAATGACTACAGCAACTAGAGCCGGCATCCAAGCGTAGCCTTCGTAGAAGTGCAGCACGTTGAACCCACAGAACGAAATTAAAAGTGCTGAGATGCCGATCAAGGCGATTCCAACTGCGGTTGACAAATCACCTTCCGAGACTGCCGAAAGACATTGTCCTCCGATCACACAGATAATGACACAGAATCCGGTGAGGGTTGCCAAGTTGAGGACGACCGGAACGTATACGAAGTAATAGCTGCAAGAAATTGGTTAGCCAAGCTTGATATCCGATCCATGTGCTCACCCGGCATCGCATATGCTAGTCCGAGTCGCCTGTTTGCTTACCCAAAACTGAACCGAGCTTGGATCATCTGCCGCATGCCTGTCTTGGGGCCCCAAGTTGCCAGATACGCCGGGGGCAAGGTCGATAAGAGATTGAAAAAGAGAATCACAAGTGCCGAATCGCGGAGACCGAGTCCAAACGAGACCGGGCCCAGCATGCCGAAGGTGATGCTAACAAAAGTAAGCGCAAAGGACCAGCAGAGTTTCAGGGCTATGGAGCCTCGGAGCCTTACGCCAGGATGTTGGTATTGATCGAGCACCAAATCGTGAAAGCATTGAAGTACTTGGTGTTTGTCCGGGCCTCGAGGGGGATGGGCTGTATCCCACCCTCCTCGACCCGTCCGGCCATAAGGACTCTCCGCACGAAGCTCTTCCCATGTAGGCCAGCTGCTGGAAGCCGAGGCTTATTGACGTCTTCCCCGGTCTGCTTGTCGTCGTGGCCCTGCCGGCCATCTTGGCTCTCCAGAAGGTCCGCCATCTGGAACAATATTGCAAGGCAGTGGAACCCTGTACAAGCAAGTGTTGGAGTAAAGGCTAGACGATAAGTGGCAGCGGAGTTGCTTCGACGTCGACGTATGTGACTCAATGGCGTGATGATGGAGCAGAAATTTTGTTGCAGAACGTCCGTGCGTTGATCACATATCACCAGGTAATAATTAATGAAGATTCAGACTTAGTCGCCCATTGGTTGACTAGGGAATGGTGTCGCCATCGACCCATTTTTCTATTCGGTGCTCTGGGCGAGCGAGTGGCGGGGTTGGTTGATAGACTTTGGCATGACAAGGGTTTTCTTTTTTTTTCTTTCAACGGCTAGGCGGCATAACTACATGGAGGAGAACGCGGTAGGGTTACAGAGCCAAGTTGAATTGAAGGTGTAATTGTCCCAGCGACATTGCTCATGAAGTACACATTCCGGATATCGAGAAGCTTTCAATAGATGGCAACGCCTATCAACTTAGTTACCAAAGGGTGACAACAACTAGAACCTGCGTTGGAGAAACACCATTCCAATCGTATAGACTTCAATCACCGAACTTGTTCTCTTGTCGCTGTGAAATTGGATACGTAGACGTCGTTGTTAAGCGAAGTACGGTTTTTAGGCTCACCGCACTTTATTGCTCCTTTTTTTCTTTTGTTCTGTTTTGAGCCCTTCTCGTGCCTTGAGTTTGGTGGTGGTGGCAATGCCGGGTTTTTGGTTGTTTTAGGCAGATGGTGTGAGCTTGGTCTTCTTCTTTTTCTTCTTTTTCTTTTTCTTCCCTGACTTGGCCTCCGTTCGGCCCATTGCCGACGGAGCATACGCCAGGGTATTTTTCAGAATTACCTGGGCTTTGCTATCAGAACACGCCTGTATTCCTCGCAAGATATTGCCAAGTGTTTCTTGGAGTATAGTCAGCCTTGACGTCAACCAGCTACGAATGGTCATACTCTAGCATACCCATTCCAGACTTTACACCTCTCCAGGCACGAGATCCACGCCCAACTCCAAAACGATTGATCCAGGATTTGGTCTCGTCACAGGGCCAAAGCTGATGTGACGAATTCCTCGCCTCTTCGCTTTCCGCCTCGGGGTGAACAACGTCAATTCTTTTCACGGAGCCGTCCCGGAGAAGGCCTTGGACAATCGGTATCTCAAAATCCTGCAGGCTTGTCAAGCCGGAAGGGTGGAACTGGTCGGGGGGAGGCGGCAATAGGATTACCACCCTGTCGCCTTGAGATATAAACCACGAGAATATGGCTGACGCGCCTTTCATGAACTTGCTCCTTGCTTTCTTTCTCTTCGACTTCTCTAGCGCTCTCAAAGGACCCAAAGCCGTTGTCAGAGTCTGGCTCTGGTGACTATCCGCCCACTTTTGTGCCTTCTCCCGCTGCATCCCGCTCCAGAGGACTTGACGGTTAAGCTCAAGCGAGCTGAGAAATTGATTGCAAATTAGTTCAGCTTCTTTAGCAGTGATATACTTTGGACAAATGATCCTCAGCAGATGTCGAAGTCCTGCCCGTTCTTGGGTTGAGGACGACATTGTAATCTTAGCCAAACAGTGCAAGAACGGGGTGCTGATTGATGTTTTCGTGAGTTTACATCGGCATAAGACTAGGCTTCAAGATCCGGACTTCCAAGCGGAACAAGGCGGCTATTTGTGTCTGGGACTTTTGCAGTAATCCATCATTTCTTTGAATGATGAGCCCGTGTCGGCAGGCCTAGACTCTGGCCTTGTAATGGAATCCCACCAATTATCTGATCACAGCACCCTAACCTACACTTACATACTCGGTGCGTCCTTCTGGCCGGGCCAGGGTACTCAACGTAACTGCTTTATGACGTAAACTGTAGATGAACTCAATCTTCTATGCCAAAGTTCGGTGCTTGAACTGTATCTGACGATGAAATCTTGCCATACGTGCCTTTCTGGACGATGCGTCTATTAAGATCGTCATTTAACTGATATCAAGCAAATATAATGAAACAAATGAGCGTATTTCACTCCTTTCCCGTCGGCAATATGCACTGTTACACCTGAATCTGTAAGGCTTTCAAGGCCACAGACGTCGTCGTAGGTAGTTCTTACGCCACAGTTCCGTGATCGGCTCCATAAGCCGAGGCATATTCCTCGACGACACTATCCCGTTGACCCGGAACTGCCCCCGCAACGTTGCTTTTTAAGACCCAGACAACCCCGCAAGTAGCATGAAAAGCATGCTCCGTCGCCGAAACCAAATCTGAGCCATGGGTCGTTCGACTTTCAGCCCTACTGATATCGTGGAGGAGCTTTGGGCCAATCTCGGGCTACCGAAACATGCCACTTCGGCTATCAGACTCGAGACAGCGCCTGGCCCGGCCATCCCCTCCTCGTTCAAGATTGGCCACATTGCGCAGAGTTCGATCGCGCTATCCGCTTCGACAGCCGCTCTCCTTCACTCGCACCGCAATGCCGTCGCCGCCCTGCCGCGGGTCGCGGTGCTGCTCCACCACGCCCTCGCTGAGTTCAGGTCGGAAAGACTCTACGAGATCGAGGGCAAGACCCCGCAGTCCGCTTGGGGTGACGTGGGAGGTCTCCACAGAACGCTAGACGGCCATGTCCGCATCCACGACGCCTTCCCACATCACCGCCTCGGCACCCTACGGCTCCTTGGTCTGCCCCCGGACGCTACCCGCGGCGACGTCGCTTCGAGGACGAAGCTTTGGCTGAGTGTCGACCTCGAGACGGCCGCCATCGAGCACGGCCGGGCAGTATGTGCTCTACGCACGTATGAGGAGTGGGATAGCCACCCTCAGTCGGTTTCCGTCGCAAACCAGCCCGTCCTGCTGAGGAAGCTCGCGGACGGGCCCAAAGGTTTCCCCGATCACATGGCCAAAGGCGCAGACCGTTGCCTCAGGGGCCTCAGGGTGGTGGAGTTGAGCCGCGTGATAGCTGCGCCCGTGGCAGGCAAGACGCTCGCAGCGCATGGGGCAGACGTTCTCTGGGTCACGTCGCCGCGCCTCCCGGACCAGCCCCCGCTCGATAGAGAATTCGGCCGCGGAAGCGCACCATCCGGCTCGACATCAACAAGCCTCCGGCTAAAGCCAAACTCCTCGAGCTTCTCCGCACCACAGACGTTCTCATCCAAGGGTACCGACCCGGCAGTCTCGCAGCGCGCGGCCTGTCTCCGGCAGAGCTGGCTGCGGCGAACCCGAGGCTGGTCATTGCGAATCTCTCGGCGTTTGGCCCCGACGGCCCCTGGTCTGGCCGCCGCGGGTTTGACTCCCTGGTCCAGACGTGCGGTGGGATGAACGTGTCGGAAGCGCAGCATCATGGAGCTGGGGAGCCCGCGATGCCTCTGCCCTGCCAGGCCCTCGACCACGGCGCCGGTTTTCTTCTTGCGTCTGGGATATCTGCCGCTCTGTACAAGCGCGCAACAGAGGGCGGCTCTTGGGTCGTAGACGTCTCACTCGCGGGGGTGATGAAATACTTGAGAAGTCTTGGGCAGTACCCAGGCAGGACAGGTTTTGAGGTCCCGGATGCCGAAAGAAGCTTTCAGGTTGCGGAGGATCTGTTTGAAAAGCGCATGACGGGCTTCGGCCTAATGAAGTACGTAAAGCATTCGGCAGTGATCGAGGGCCTTGAGCCCGGTTGGGATGTTATGCCAAAACCGTTGGGAAGCGACGAGCCTCAATGGCTCGCCTAGGACCTATATTCAACCCTATCTAACGTGCTGCTGTATTCGTACTCCGTATTAGAGAACGGCTGCCACCTGGCCAATTGGGCCGACCGCTCCGAGGAACTCGTCCACGGCCTTGTCTATTTCATAGTGGTACATCCAGGTACTCTTGTTCTCGCCCACTCTTCTCACGCGCTCCTCAATCTCCTCATCTGCGGGGAGTTTCTCGGCCAGCAGCGAGGAGTTGAGCGTGGCAAAATTGTCCAGAACACCGTATAGGTCGCGGTAGTGCGGGGACCTGATCTGGTCGTACAGCCCCAGCGCCGCCGGCAAGCCCTTCGCATTCCGCTGCGCCCAGTCGATGCTCCGAGTGAGTCAAGGCGTAGACGTCCTCCAACGCGAACCCCGCGCCGGCGCCGAAAGCGCCCGATAGGGGGTGGGAAGCGTCCCCGACCAAGGCCAGGGCGCCGTGGGAGATGACGCTCCCCGGCCGGGCACCCGAGAACAGGGCGAACTCCTGGGTCTCGCCTTGGGCGGCGAGCTGTATGACTCTGCGGACGGGCTCGCAGAACTCGTCGTACTCGGACGCGATGGCCGCGAAGTCAAAGGGACGGCCCCAGCTGACCTGCTCCTGTCCCTCGACCGGGCGGCGGATGCGTGCCGTGACTTCGAAGTCGTCTCCGCCGAGGGGGCAGGTGAAGACGTACTTCCCCCCGTGTC